GTCTGATTTGGGAGTCATCGCTTAAAGCTCGCTACAGGGGTCATTTAGAAAACTTAAGGAAGTGAAGTCCACACAAATGGTGTTTAAAGAATAAATTTATAGTTGAAAAAAGAAAAGAAAAGAAATTTGATATCACATACCTTGATTAAGCCCCGAACACTTGTTTTAGAGGATTAGACCTTTGATGAGAGGTTAGTAACTTGGTTGATTCTGGGATGTTGAAGCAGTCAAAATAAGGAGAGTCATCATCTGTTGATATGTTGAACTGCAATAGTGAAATCTAACCAAACTTGAGCAGTGTAAGAAATTAGTATTGAAAAATTAACTTTAGAATACACCTTGGGAAGAGAAAAGAAAACAAGTTTGGGGGTGTGTGAATCCCACGAGCGAAATAAGGAAATATTTGACTTTTAAGGTCGGGAATTGTATCAACTTATTATTGTATAGAGTTTCACTTAACTCTTTACACACACATACCCGTTTTGCATTGAGTAAGTGGGAATTTAGCTTGTGCATTATAACTTTGAAGTGATTCCTAAATTTGACACTATGTTATCAATCCTAAGCTGTGAAGGCAAGGTGTCTAGCACAATGTGTTTTTAAGTGATCTTGTGTGCTTTAATTGAGTTTGTGTGTTTATTTGTTATTTTCTTTAGTTTGTGTTTGCTCCAGGACAAGCAAAGTATTAAGTTTGGGGGTATTTGATGAGTGATCTACACATGATATTTATGCCACCTAATTTGTTATTTTGCTACTCTTGAGAGTGTTTTAGAATGTTTTAATGTGTGTTTTGATGTTGTGATGTAGATTGATGAAATTGGAGGAATTAAGCAAAAGTTGGCAAAATTGGAGAGAATGGGCCAAATTGTAAAAGATCTAAAGTTCAGGGACTAAAATGTAAATAATCCAAACTTGTATCGAACCTTGCCATCAAGATCCGAGAGTGTTAGGAATCAATTGGATGAGAAAAGATGTCAAAGGGATCAAATTTAGGCAAAATGTGATCACAAATCAATTGCCAATCGAAAAGTTATGCTCCAGAATTTTAGTCTCATATTGAGACCTATTTCTGACATAGTAAACGATCGAATTGGAAAATAATGTTTGAAGAAAAGTTATAGCCCTTTGAGTTACATTTCCAATGCATCTTGAATTACCTCAATCTAACATCAGACGAAGAAATTATGGCAAAAATATTGAAGGAGGTGAAAATTGCATTTTCCACCTGAAGTGGGCGCCGCAGCGCCCAAGATGCTGAAAATTAATAGAACAAGTGGCGCCACAGCGCCCATATTTGGCGCCGAGGCGTCAGATATGCGGAAAAATTGGATTTTATATTTTTGGAATTTTTTCTTGGCCTAACTCAACCCTAATTCATCCAATAATTTCAAGATACTATAAATACCATTTAAAAGACCTATTTTCAAGAAGGATGGAAGGGGACAAGATTGAAGAATTCAACCACACAATTTGAAGGAGGCAAAAATTGAAGACATCAAAAGGAAGGAGGAACAATATCAAGGAAGAAGATTGAAGATCTACCCAAAAGACTAGTTTTTTCTATCTTTTTCCTTATATTGTTTATTATAATTTGTATGATTTTTATTTATTACACCATGAATTAAATAATTTATCTAGGGGGTTTGATGTAGCCGAATCAAGATTATGGTTTGATGATTTTATAATTATTTCCTTGATTTTTCCACATATGTTTAATTGTATCATGATTTTAATGCTTTAAATTACTTGATCAATAATTGAATGAATAGATGCTAGTCAATTTCGACACTCGAGAGAGGGGAATTTAGGTGTGATCATAAGATTGACACAACATAGGTTTTATGGGTTTCGAGAGAAAGTGTAAAATCTGTGAAGCTTAATCCATAAAAGAATCGGGACTTTTATAAATTCTTGATTTTCAATTCGGAACAAAGATGCTAGAATTGGGATCTAGGGTTAATTTCTAATCGATGCTCGAGAGAGGGGGTTAGAAATACATTCGGATTCTTGCTTTTAAATATGGGAAAATTAATTGGAATAATTTGAATTCGTTTAATCATAATTGAAAGTTAGATGAAATCAATCCCTAACCCTTCTCATTTGATAAATTTGCATTCTATAATTTTGTCACATCCAATTCAAGTTTGATTAGTTTAATTTATTCACTCATAAAACATTAAATCCATTCAATCATACATTTGTCTAAATAATTACTTAGTTTAATTATTTTTTTAATATTTGATTTAAATATTTCATTAAATATTTTAATTGGTTAGGTAAATTATTTGTTTAATATTTCATTATTTATTTTAATTACTTATTTTGTTCTAAATTAATATTTAATTTACTTGTTTATTTAATTTATTTCAATTAGTTATTTATTATTTCAATTAAATATCAATTAATATTTTTGGTCAACAAAATTTATTTGCTTTAATTATTTATTGAATATTTAATTGTTAAATACTTATTTACTTATTTAAATTATTTATTTCAGTTGTTCAATTAATAGTTAATTAATTTTTTATTTAAATATTTCATTAATTATTTTCATTTGTTATGCATATTATTTGTTCAGTATTGAATTACTTTACTCAGTTATTTATTTTAATTATGTATTTAGATTGTTAATTTAATATTTTATTTAATGTTTTACTTATATTCTTCATTAATTATTTTAATTTGTTAATGCATATTATTTACCGACTATTAAATTACTTATTTCATTTCTTTATTTCAAATACTTAATTTAATTATTTTTTAATATTTAATTTACTTATTTATTGAATTTTTAAATAATTATTTGAACTGTTTATATCTATTATTTGTTTAATATTTAATTGTTTATTTAAGTCATTTCAAATAGTTATTTACTATTTCAATTAATTATTTTAATTGTTTAATTAAAATTTATTTCCATTCGTTATTTATTTTTTACTTAAATAAACAATATACGTAAACAATTAATATAAATCATAAAATATATTAAATACACAAATAAATTATACAAATAATTAAAAATTAAACAAAAATAATATACATAACAAATTAAATAATTATTTAAATAAAGAATTATATTAAAAATTATTTACAATTCTTTTTTTTTTTGGCTGGGCCCATTTCCAGATGCTGGGCCGTCTGGACCCAGCCCCAGCCGTCTGGATCCACACGAAATCAGACGGCAACACGCAGGCGATTGCAAATGATAGAGACCACCATTTTCGATGATCTCCAGATCGTTATTTCCGACGATCTCCACCCCAATAAATTGCCCAAATCATCATTTAATCCATTATTTACAATGATTTTTCACCAAAGAAGCATCCAACATGCACCACTTCAAAGATTAATGGTAGAAAATAGTTTCAAAACTCACATTCTTCACTGAACAGAAGCAGCCTCTGGTGTGGGTCGTCGGTGGGTGGTCGAATTTTCCTTTGTCTCGTCGATTTTGATCCTCCCTTTCTTTCTCTCTTTCACGTGTTTGAATTTACGGGAGTGTATATTTGAGTTTTCATTTGTTTTTATGATTTTTCCCATTTTTACATTTTTTTAAATGTGGTCGAAGGCTATTGTGGAAAGATCAACCGGCCATCTTTCACTATTTCTTCCTATGAGAGTGCCTGCTGTTTGAGCCTTTTTGGAGCCCATTGGGCTGAGTTTCTATTTAGGAAAATTGACAGAAATAGCACTACCATCATTTGGTTTTAGGGTTCAAATTCTATCATTGAACCCCTATTTGAAGGCAATTATTGAGGGAAAAAAAAATAATATTTTGAATGGTGATTTTTTTTAGAATGTGTGGTTAAAAAAAAAAAAAAAAGATTTTCAGTTTATATGCAAAATATTTTGTGAAGTGAATGTACAATTGAAAGTTAATATAAGAATTGAAGAATTTTATTTTAATGGGAGACGAACAAAGAGTAATAGTGAATTTGGTTGCGAATATGGAGTTTACATTGAAAAAAAAAAAAATTCTAGGCAATTCAATTGCCTAGACCTATATGTATGAAATTTATTAATTAAATGTATTTGATTTGTTTAGTTTTCAACCCAAAAAAAATATTATACTTGTCCATTTTTATTGGAGGATAGTCGAGGAAGAATAGATAGATAAAAGAGAAAAATAGAGAGTGAATTTTATGGAAAATAAAATCATATTCTCCCTAAAAAAATATTTTCCTTAATTTTGAGGAAAATATGATTATGTCACCAAAAGTAGGAAATATTTTCTATGGAAAAAATTCCAATCAAACAATACAAAAATAGGAATTTGGATGATAACAATATATTTTTCATGAAAAATATTGACAATCAAGTGCACCCTAAAATTTCTTCATCAATCTTTTTCAATGCCACATTAGTGAGATTGTAAATTTTCAGAGAATTACCAGCAAGAATAATCCATTATACCTGCAAGAATAATCAATTAAATGCTTGATAATTGTTTATTTATTATTATTATTTTTTGTGCTTTTCAAAATTATTGTATATTTCGAAGTCAACATTTTAGCATTTGGTAAACAAACATGTATTCTTTTTGCGAGCGTACACTGTTAGTAAATGTTGATTACAATAGTTGCCTTGTCTAATTTCACTGTATCACAAAATTTTTTATTACTTTTAAAACATATAAAATGATTTAATAATTACCAAAGACAATATATTTATCATATCTATTTTAGAAGAAAAAAATTAATACTAAAAACTTAGAAAAAAAAATGCATTGTCTAATTTTTTTTTTTTTTTTTTTTTTTTTTCAAACATATCATACCCAGGATTAAAAATGAATTGGGTTTACTAATGAAAATTAAAATATCTTAAAAATAAAATGTAAAATCTTAACCTTTGGTCAAGAATCTCAAATAAGAATTGACAAACACACACTATAAATATTATTTAAACTAAATTTTCTTGTTTAACACTATTCAATAAAGTGAAGGATGCTGATATCCAATCAAAAAATAGAAAAAGCAACATTTATGGAGGAAAAAATAAAATAAAATAAGATCAAAGATCAAAGATTTTATGTAATGCTGTTATTTCCATATGACAGCTGTAATTTTGAATCAAACACAATAAAACATATCATCAATAATCAATATGACACAAAAGTAGACAACAATAATGATCTCATATTTTAACCATACTAGATGCCACTGTTTCACCCAAGAATCAATTACTACTCCATCAAATGCCATGTTTAACTTCTTATATTTTCAAATATGTCAACAGAGCTTCGGTATTGTTTGGATTTTGTGTAACGAGTCGACGCCATTAACAAGACGAACGACCAGCTATTGAGAAATCGAACACCTGCATGAACGAAGATAATCAAATTTGAGAAACTCATTTGACTACAATGGCACGAAAACAAAGAACTTCATCCCCTCTCTAAAGTGGAATCACTTAACATGCAAAAGTTTATTGAGCATCATTACCATCTATTTATCAAGTGTACAGCTTTTTGGCAATAGATGAATCTAACCTACACATGAAGCAGCACATCTATGATACACCAACCCGACATACGATTTTCAAAAAAAGTACTAACACTATACGTCATCGATATGTTGGTTAAATTCATCAAATTTCTTCATTTATAGAGTAAAAATAATTAGTTTTATACTTGCTATAACTTTTTCTTGTTAAAATTTTTCAAATATGAGTGTGTATTTGTTATTTAATAACAAATTTGAGTTAAAAAAAAAAAAAAAAAAAAAATATTTTTGTGAAAAAAGAAAATGATCATACTATAGTGTTCTAGGAATGTCAATATCTGACACGTGTTCAACATGGATATACCACCCTTGGTGAAATGTCCGTGCAAAATAGGAGCACATTGAAGACAAAATCCAAATGTGTAATCTCTCTAACTCAAGCTCCTAGATGAGGAGAATTTTATTCAAACTTTGTTTTCAACACATTTGCCCATTTGTATGCATGATTAAATTTTTCATAAATAATATGACGTGCACAATGGGTTGTAACAAGCCTTATGCTGAACACATTTGTTTGCTATGATAAATAAGCTGAAGTTTCACCTAAAACCTCAAACTTCAATAAAAACCTAGAAATGGGCAATATAAAGCAACTCACTTTTGCGCTTCAGAAGCAGTAGGTGAGAAAAAAATACATCACTCGAATGCAAGCCTTTGAGTGCCGACGAGAGAAGCATATTGACCGTTCTTTTCTAACAACTCAAAATGTGTCCCCAACTCTGAAACTTTCCCATCAGAGCACAGAGCAATTTGATTTGCATTCTGAACTGTGCTCAATCTGTGAGCAATCACCAACGTTGTTCTTCCCTTCATCAGACGATTCAGAGCATCCTGAACCAGACGCTCACTTACGGTATCCAAAGCACTAGTAGCCTGCACATTCAAGATACAATGGAGAATGTTGTCCAAAGCATCCAACAATAAATGATGCTAAAATAATTTTCCAATGCTAAACGAATAAGCATTTTCTATTAGTAAAGTTGGAAACATGCTATCTTATTAAACCCTTATTTGATCCCCATTATTTTCAGAATATATTTTTCTCTCTCGTCTTTTTTAACCACACATTCATCAATAAAATAATATTACATGCAAATCCAAAACTTTTTCTTATTTTCTAACCACATATTCTCCATCAATCTACTATTTCAAAATCCATTCTTACAATAAAATGAGGGCTCAAACAGTCTCTAAATACAAAAACCACATCCACGTTCTTTTCCTGGAACCCATTTGGGCCTGATAGCTTAATCCATGAATAGAGAATGCATATGAACCGCAAATTCAACAAGAGAGATACCTCGTCAAGAATCAAGACTGGAGCATTCTTAAGCAGAGCTCTGGCAATAGCAATTCTCTGGAAATAAGGAATGGGTTTAGTATTAGATCACTTCGCGCGTGCGCACACACACACACACACACACACAGAGTTTATACCTGTCTCTGTCCTCCGCTTAACAGACCCCCACGCTCACCAACTAGTGTGTCATAACCCTGTAGAAGGACAAACACTCAGCAGAACATTAACTCACAGGAAGAGGTAGATTTATGCACGGTTTCAATCTTGACTCACCTGTGGCAACGATATTATAAAATCGTGAGCATTTGCCGCTTTAGCAGCCTTTATCACATCATCTCTGGAAACATATTCATCTGGGAGCCCATAAGCAATATTTTCCCCAACAGACACAGAGAACAGAACAGGTTCCTGTGATATTGTGTTATACATTTCAGGCAAGTAATAACAACAAAACATAAGCATTATTCCCAAAAAAATTGGGTAAGTTACTTTAATCCCTTTCGCCAATCTGTTTGATTCCTTTGCTATGTTTACGAAGCATTTCCTCAGCAACCATAACAAGTCATGTTATAGAAAGTGAGTGAGTTAATTCATCTGAATTGACTTAAAAATGCAACTGATATTTAGCCAGGATTATGTCCCATCAAAATCAACTCAATTTATGACTTGATACAAAATTAACTTGCGTTTCTAAAATCAACCAGTGTTTGAGCCATGTCGTGGTATCAGTCATTTTAGCCACTAATCACCAGTGATTTTCAAAGGTCTTCGTGCATGGCCGCATCAAAGTGAGTGTGTTGTTGATGTTTAAATATGTTTACACATGAGTTCTTTCTTTAACTGAACTAATTTATAAGACTCTCCACCACAAATAAATCACTTCACTATATCTTCTAATTGGCATGTGTGCCAGGGTTACAATGAAACCAGAGGTGTTATGCATTAAGATGAAATTTCAGTTATAAGATGAGCAAAGATCCAGGAGGTACTTGATTCACTATGGAAACCGTCCGAACCCATTCACTTTTATCAAATGTCCGCAAATCCTCTCCAGCAACAGTTATGCAGCCTCTGGTTGGCTGCCATATTAGAATTCAATTTACAGTTATGAACAAGAGGGAATATGAAGCTCTAATCACAATTATAAATGATAAAATGGACGTAACCTCATAGAAACGAGCTAACAGTTGTACTATTGTACTCTTTCCTGCACCACTTGGGCCCACTAGAGCAGTAACAGTTCCACATTTTAAAGTTAGATCAAGACCTTGTAGGATTTCTACATCAGGTCTCAATGGATAAGAGAAATGCACATCTGCAAAAGAAAATAGTATAACGCCAATTGTGCAAGTTGACCTTGTCATAAAAGACACCGATAACGCAAAAGTACATACCTTCAAGGCATATATCACAAGACTGAGCAAGGCTACGCACATGGGTAGCTGATTTTAAGGAAGACATGTACCCCGTATTCCGAGTTCGCATTGTCCCATTAGAACCATTGACCAAAAGAGCTTCAATATTTTTGTCATGCACTTTGTTTCGCTTCAAGTTTTTTTCTAAAGCATAAGCTAGAGCATCATCAATTTCAGCGCCAGATAAAACGGAGTTAATTCTTTCAGCAGCAGCGAAGGCCCCACGAAGATCTCCAAAGGTGTTCACCACTCCTTGAACCTAGAAGACACATCTATCTGCTTGTATTGAAGAATGGAAATAAGAAAGGGAGGGTGCAGAAAGAAAAGTACTCACAGCAAATGTCAACGTAAAAGTGTATCCAATGAAGGAAACCATGGTACCCACTGCAAGTTCACCCTATGCACAACACATCAAAATTTTGGAATAATCAGCTCAATAAAAATATGCAAAAAAAGCAAATTCACCAGCCATTAGAGAATATAATTCAATAAACAAAAGTTTCCTTGAAGATATCGTGACAAAATACAATGAAATCCATCAATATTTTTAAAAGAGGATCATGATAGAACTGTTAAAATACAAGGTAGAAAAGGCTTCAAGTGCTTACAGCTTTTACTTTACTTCCTCCAAGACTATACAAGGCAGCTAAAGAAACATAAACAGCAACTCTTGTCAGGGATTCATTGAGGGACTTAAATGTCCCAAGTTTTATGCCACTATTCTCATACTCCAGGACCTGAAAACTCAATATCACTTGCTAAGTAAGCTCAAGAGCTGATGTTATCAATAACATTATAATTACATGGTTATGGACAATTGTCGCATGTTTGGTAGGAAGGATTAGATAGCACGAGACAATATAATGGAAGAAAAAAAGTAAAAATCTTGTTCATTACATTGCCGAGTGTTCAATACTATGTTTCAAACATGTACATGAGTTTGACACTAAGGTAGAAATTTTATGTCACAGTACCCTACCTGGCGACCAAAAATTGACATTTGACGTTTTTCTCCACCAAATGATCTTACCTAAGAGATAAATGTAAAAAGATGACGTAAATATTAATTTGACACTATAAACATCAGCACAAGAAACTACATTGCAAATATGACAAAGGTCAGAACAACCTACAGTACGAATAGCAGCAAAAGTTTCGGTTACACAATCAGCTATGGAGGCTTGGACTGATCCATGAGCTTTAAATACGTTCACAGTTGTTCTTTTGTACACAGCTAAAAATGATTGCACATCAGTGTAATTCCAAAAATAAGAATGGTAATAAATTACAAGAACTTCTAGAAACTTCTTTGTGAACAAAAACTAGCACTATGTTACTGTTTTATAGATTATTTCAGTTATTTCTTGGAATACACACTCCTATAGCATGTCACAGCATACAGATAGTTTATTAACCGCTATGAGAAATACTCACCAACTAAAAATGATACTGTAAGCATGAGGAGGCCCAAAATTGGTGCAAGTTGGATGGACAAAACAAAAAGCAAGCACATAGTCCCGATGACCTGCAGGAAAACAGAAAGCTCACACTTTGATTGAAATTTGAACATTTTGTAAACAATACTCAACAGAATTGTATATTACTATAGACAAGATTTTAGCTTCCCTTTCTCTTAATATATATACAACTAACATTACCAAATGAGCCATAAGTGATCACTTAAAGCATACATGTAAAGGAAAAGAAACCTAGTAAACAGTATGCTATAAGTATGTACATTCCGAAACTCATATCAAGAGAATTTCTCCAAACTTTCTGGAATCAATTGTTTCAATCAACATATACATCTAGATATGAAATCGGAATGATCAGAGCAATTTTAATTGAGTTATGATTTAACCAGTTAAAAAATAAATAAATCTCACTTGTGTTTAAAGTAGGATAGCTTGCCTCAGATAGTGCCCTGAAGCCACGATCTCTTGATATATTTTCGCTGACAATGCTTTTCAAAGAGCCCAAATCAGATGTCAATAAAGCAGTTAGTTCGCCAACCTACAAAGATCCCACCCAAACCAGTAAATAAATCATAGGGACATCCACTAGAAAAATATAGATTGGATTCATAAAATTTTACTGCCTGAGTGAACTTGGAGTTATATACAAATTTCACATGAATACCTTGTATCGATCAAAAAACTCCACCTGCAAAGTCAATAGGAAAAGTGTGTCAAAATTGGATGAACTCATAAAATAAGAGACACGATTCCTGGATAGTTTATTCAAAGCAAAAATGTTTCTTTTTCTGTTTTCTGTGTTGTATTTTTTCTTCCACTCTTACAGCATTTAGTTTTTCCCGACGAGCCCGAAAGCCTACATAAGTTAACTGGACTGAAGGCTATTTAAACGTAAATATCTGAAAACAGTATCCTATCAAAAGCAACAAAAATAGAAAATGTTCAATTTAAACTTACAATGGCTATTTGTTTCCAAGATGCTAATAAATACTAAAGAGGGTTACCACATTGAGAAACAATTTTACCTTTTGAATCAACACCCTCTGAAATATTTGAGCTCTTAAGCTAGACATAACCTTCTCCCACATGATATTCATGTTTATCACAAAAATGATTGTACAAATTGCCTCCAATGTGTATAAAATTCCCAATTTGCTAACCACTTGCCAAAGAGGCACTGTTCTTGCCCCAATCAGTACTTCGAAAAATCTTCCTGAAATAAGCCTCTCATTGACATCAATATTATTTATCAATTGTATTATCAATATATATCTTTAAAATAGAATGTAGAAATATTCCAATAAGAGTAACAGATATAGAAATTCAAAAGTAAATTGCCATATATAGTTTAGTTTATAAATCTATATTCAGGAGTGGTTACTACTTATTTCATATCTTAACTTCACTTCAAAAATGAAGTAGAGCCTTAATCATCATCTGGTCTTTTATACTTCATTTTTTGAACAAAACCATGATGTAACCTTAAAGTACCTGTGCCAAATTATATTCTGAAATTGAACTTTGAAATCATAGTTATAGTTTAGATTGTATTTCTCTTGGTCGACATGATCAGAACTTCATTTTCATCAAGATGGTTAGAAGTTGTTCCAAATAAGTTAAGTCACTGCTAACTTTTTTTCACTCTATATTATTACTGGTGTAACATACTATCTATATTCATTATACGAGCATATACAAAAAATTTACATTCCATCTTCACAAAATACTGTTTTGGAAAAATGTCACTCTCACTACTAGCAACCAAGTGCAAGACTTTAATCACGTCCTTATACAAATTCACGGCCAACTTAGGATTTTATCACCAGCTTAAAAGTTCAATTATTAGTTAATTTACTTATTATTAAAAAAGCAAGGTTTATAATGAATGAGTTTTTATTTGGTGAAGGTTGAAATGAGTGACATTTTTTTAAGCAACGAAAGCATGCTTTAGTATGCAGGATTGAACAGGACAGAATTTCAAGTTCAGTTTCTTCTTTAAAACGGTCTAGTTCTATCCAATTCACTTACCAAATATATCATTGAATGGACAAGATTTAAACTTCCTTTTCTACTTTAACTTGTCCAATCCTACTTACCAAACAAATCATGAGTGTTGCCTAATTCTCCCAGTACAAATACATTCTCACAAGACAACTATAACATACCGGAATATATAGGCATGGAGAGAGTGCTAGCTGTGCAACAGAGAAGACTAAGAATCGAAGCCACGAGTCTCAACTTGTTCCGTGAAATCAGCTTCCACAATAATCCCCAATTTATCACTTCAATTGGTCGCAATTCCTCAATCTCAACCATGTCCAAATCGTCGATTTTCGGCTCATTTTCTGACGAGCTTGTGTCGAAAGCTGGGCCAGAAACATAAGCGCCGGTAACATTTCTTAATTTTCTCGAAATTTGTTCAACTTTTGGCAAAGAAAACGAAGTGGGCAATACAGAAAATGTCTGATTTTTGCGATTGTGGTTTAATTTTAGCCTTATATGTGGTATTCTGTGGGTGTGAAATTGTTTTGGGAGTTTAAGGTTGCAAGGAAGAGTAAAAGGCGTAGCAGCTATTGCCATTTCTTCTGGTAGTTGTAGTGTGCACTCATGAAATGTTGGAGGCGATTTGGTTTCAATTTATAGTGTTGAGAATGCGTGTGGGGGAAATTTTGCATTATAATTTTTATTTATCTGAAATTTCGGAAGTTGTCTGCTTGAAATAAAATTGGTCAAATTTCATTCGGGTCCCTAACATTTTACAAGTATGACCCTCTTAAATCTAACTTATAATTTGTCGTATCAAAATTGTGACACATGTTGTCCATAGCTAAGAGAAAATATTTATTTGTGACGCATGGCATTCACGTGCTGTCGGGAATAACTTGAAATAAAGAGATAACTTGCGTGAAGATTGAAAATTTTTACCATATTTGAATTTCTAAATGAAGAAAGAATTGTTCCTTTACTAGTACTAAGTGAATAAGTTGCACGTTTTATATATCGATGAATGATATACGTACTATTTTTGAATTATTAATACATTTTTTTAAAATAATAGATGTAATTGATATTGTTAAAGGGAAAATTACAATAGAGAGAGTGTGTGTGTGTGTATATTTTTATGAAATTATGTATATAATATGAAAATGTTGAATAAACAATAATGTAATGATATGATTACAATAACACTTCTTTATACACAATATGATTTTTTAGTGATCGAATATCCCAATTGATATATTAATGAGCTAAGAGAAAATATTTATTTGTGACGCATGGCATTCACGTGCTGTCGGGAATAACTTGAAATAAAGAGATAACTTGCGTGAAGATTGAAAATTTTTACCATATTTGAATTTCTAAATGAAGAAATTGTTCCTTTACTAGTACTAAGTGAATAAGTTGCACGTTTTATATATCGATGAATGATATACGTACTATTTTTGAATTATTAATACATTTTTTTAAAATAATAGATGTAATTGATATTGTTAAAGGGAAAATTACAATAGAGAGAGTGTGTGTGTGTGTATATTTTTATGAAATTATGTATATAATATGAAAATGTTGAATAAACAATAATGTAATGATATGATTACAATAACACTTCTTTATACACAATATGATTTTTTAGTGATCGAATATCCCAATTGATATATTAATGCAACTTTCAATTTTTTAACCTCAATTAATTAATAACCTAATCGATGGATTATAATGTAAATCATGAAGATTAATAAGGATTTTGTTGATGAAAAATAAAATTTGCTTTGATAATGAAAAACAAAAACTCAATGGATGAATAATAATGTAAATCATAAAGATTAATAAGGGTTTTATTGATGAAAAATAAAAAATTGCTTTGTTTATGAAAAATAAAAATTATAAGAATAAAATACTCAATTGAATGATAAGTCACTAAATTTTCGTGGATTTATTATTATTATTTTTTAATAATTGATTGTTAGTTTCACACCTTAAATTAATTCCAACACAAATGATAAACATCAATTAAATATTTCACCATTTATATTAATTCTAAATCAAATGATAAATGCTAATTAAATTGGTAGTGAATGCTTTGTTGATGAAAATTAAAAATTGTAAAGAAAAAAACAATTGAATGTTAGTCATTGAATTTTCGTGTGTAATTTCTTTTTTATTCATTGAACGTCCTCATTAATATATTAATGCAACTTTTAAAATATTTGTAACCTCAATTAAATAATAACTTAATGGATGAATTATAATGTAAAGAATAAAAATAAAAAATTGCTATTGCTCCGTTGATGAAAAATAAAAACTCATTGCATGAATTATAATGTAAATCATAAAGATTAATAAGAGTTTTGTTAATAAAAAAAAATAAATTGATTTGTTAGTGAAAAATAAAAATTGTAAAATCAAAATGGTCAATTGAATGGTAAGTCACTATTTTTTTTTTTTTTTTGGATATAATTGAATGCTAGTTTCACTCCTTATTATATTAATCCCAATCCAGAATGATAAATATCAATTAAATATTTCACTCCTTATATTTATATCAATTCTAAACCAAATAATAAATATTAATTAAATTGGTATTCCAATTATGAGGGTATAGTGGGTATATAGTTAAAAATGTAGCGGTAAATTTGATATTTAAAAATTTCTCCACTATCCCCACTTTTAATATGTTGTAAATGTAGATATTTCAAGAAAATCAATGCAGGTAGTGCTAAGTATTTACTCTATTTGTTCATTACATGTACATATATATATGCTTGTGATACGTGTTAGAATTTTTGAAGTTTTGAACAAAGAGGTTTATGTATAGCCATAACCAATTTCAATGATCCCAAGAGATTCTTAGGAATCATGAATTTATTAGTATTCATTTATGTGAAATGTTAAATTCTTTCTTATCGCTTTGTATATATGTATATGTATGTATGTTTTATGACCAAAAAGGAGCACCAAGTGATGTTAGTCCTATTGAACTTAAAGCTCACATCTTCTATGTTGAAAATTTTTTCAGATTAAAGAATGGTCGAGGAAGTGAAATTTACGTGGATTTCAGAGGATCTGAAGGGAGAAGGTTGATTCATTTGTGTAATTAGTCACATTTGAAGAGTTTCTAGCTCTATTTGGTTATGCAACTTATGTTTAATTTCTAGATGTTAGATTATCTTTCTTTAAAACTTTTTAATTCTTTTTTCTTGATGTGAACATTGATATTTTCAATTGGTTTAAGTATGCATATAATTAAAGTTGTTAAAGAAGTTAAAATTAAGCTTTAAACTTGTAAACAATAATTTTCAGCTTGTTGCTTGAATTTTGTTGCATCATCTTGGATATAATTCTTTGACTTTTTGGACAAAACTAGTGAGGTTTGAAATCCTTACGAGTCCTCTTTCCAGGATATTTATGCCTTTTTCATGTACTATGTTTAGTTTATCTGAGAACTTTTTTATTTTTTATTTTATTTTTTCACATGTTTGATTGTAGATTTGATTGCCTATATGATATTCGGAAATTCTAAAATTTTACTATATTGTACTTGAATGAGTTCAGAAAATATTATAAAAATATCATATAATTATCAATCTGATAAATTTTCCAACTAAACTTGATTGTTGGGCAGCGCATTGCTAAATTTAAATCCGTTAATGTATTCTAATATTCATTTTAATCCTCCATTTTAGTTTCACTATATAGCAAATAAAAGTTATCTACCTTAAATAATTTGTTTCCAATAATTTTTGGAACTTGTAATAGAACATAAGGGTAAACTAAAAAAAATAAAAAGGAAATTAAGAAAACTTTAATCTAATCCAAATTTAAAAAAAAAAAAAACGTTCTTATTTTTTTGTCCATACTTCAAATTCCAAGATTTGGGTCGTTACAAAGGAAGTGTTTGCCTTAGACACATTTCTAGCATCAATTTAATCAAGAATCCAGTCGTAAAGATTGTAACAAAATTATCTAATTAAAATACTAGATTTCCATTAAAAAAAAAATTGCACTTTTATACCAAACTATGTTATTTAATTTTCTACATAATCCCCAAATAATGTGATCAACTGAAATTCTGGACAGATCATGTAATTATATTCCATGTAATACAATAAGTCAAAAAGTGCCATCAACTACGATACAAAATGGACATGATAAAGGTTGAATTTTTGTCTAAAAAATACATGAAGATCTCGCCACTTTCACAAGCAAAGGCCACATAATTTAAGATGAAGCTTGACAAAGTGGCAATCGGTTGTCTCACTAACTTTCCGTTTTCATAAAAATGGCATTTTGTAAAATTATTTCTAGTAAAAAAATTTTGTTTGAAAAATATTTGACGAGGTGGTGATGTGAGTTTTATAACGAGTTTTGAATCATCAAAAGTGAACTCTCATAGCTCTTAAAAATCGTGACCAAACAAAATTACTTGTTTTAATAATATAATGACACTAAAATAAGAATATAATATAAAATACATAATACTACAAAATCCACTAAGTGCTAGGATTCAAATATAATTATTTTTATTTCGAGGTATCTATTTAAAGCTGGATGCACTTGTCCTATTTTCAGGGTGTTACCATGGTACTTAGGATGTTACCACTTTGTCTCTAGGTGTTATCATCCTACAATCGAATTTTTTTTCATAAAGTCAACCTTGAATTTTCATAGCATTAAAAAACAAGTTTGAAAAAAAGGAGTTTTAAAGAATCTGTACTAAACAGAAGCATAATCTTTAAAAGTCAACCTTCTTATGACTTGAATTGAAACCTTCCATCTCAACAACACTTAAAAAATGAGATATAAAATGAAAGCTCTCGTCTTGTTTGGCTTACTATCCCCCAATCGTAGCTATTGACCGGACTCAACTTCATCAATTGTTTGATAAATAATTTTCTTGCTAGGTAAGTCAATAAATTTATGTTGCCCCTGTAAAACCAATTTTAATTATTTGTTTTCATTAGATATACGTTAGTATCTTGAGAGTATGATGATCAATTATCATCATTAAGTTCTGCTAGCAATTATCTTTGTATAATTTTTAAATAAGCGTTGTTATGGTTCATCTGACCAGGATTCAAGTATCGACCACGTGACAACCAATTAACAAGCCTCATCAAGGCTCACACTCCAAATCACTATCTTTCCTGGCCTAGCCGATGACATGACTAAGGTAGTTGAAGTTATGCATCACATCATTCGAAGTGTTATGTAGAGGTCCACCATTCATGCCCTAGATTGGAGCTATAACTTGCTGCAAAGTAAATATGAGGCAATTAGCCTCTTAATGAGATAAAGATTCTCCCACTTCACCTATTCCAAGAGATCTTCCATATAAGATTCTTCTATGATTAATTGATGCAACATCTCTACACCGGAGGCCCCACAATCAACTTAGTCTGTTTTTTTAGAGATTAGACCTAGGCTATATTCTAGGAAATTTGAATGCCCTTGAACTTAGTATTGATGGTGTGACACCCAGGAGAAAACGCCTTAGCCATCAAGATGAGGACATGTATATTTTCATGAGACGATAATCATTCTCCCTCTTTTAATAAAAATAGGTCATGCTTAGTGTCGTTTGAGTGTAATACAATTTTACACACTCTAGTAATATTGCTCTCATATATTTGTTCTCTTAAAATCCTCAGTGC